AATGGATTTAAGGATACAAATCCTAACAATCTCTTTTTAAGAAATAAATTTAATGAAAAAGTAAATAAATTGATAGATTCCAAAATATTTTCCAGAATCCATGTCATATGGTATAAATTAGAAATCCCTCTGGGTTTAATGCTACTTAAATGGTTTACAAAATACTTCAATATATCCTGTAAACAAAATTATCTTGATGGTTTATCATACTTAATACATATTGTATTTGCCCTCACATTGTTGCTTGAATGCAAGTGAAGCTACTGTAAATCCTCCAATAAGGCTCTTGAAACGTTTTACTAATTGATCAGTTTGATCCATAAACGCTGAACGGATTACGGTTATTGAACATATGTATCAGTCGATTCTGCATCATTAAATATACTTTCCCACCATAATTTCTTTATTGGTGTATTTGTTGAGTGTACGTAGCTGTAAATACTGACGTGTTCCTTAAATAAGTGATTTTTTTAAATTACTATTGAATCCACTGTTAGCCATACAAGCTGTTTTTTTTTTTTTTTTTTTTTTTTTTTTTTTTTTTACTATCACAACTACTATAGTTATTTGTGTAACTAGTACAGTTACAATAAATCATATAAATAATTAGTCTTTCAAACGTTTTTAGGTTGAATAAATCCAAACATTGAACGAAATGGGAAACGCTGCACCAGCTCATCGTAGTCGTAATATATTTGGTGTTGCCAACCTATTTCCAAGCGTACACGGATTACGTGCAGGTTGGAATACTGGCGTGCGACAAAGTGAAAACTGTGCGACGAAGTAAAAAGTGTCGACAAAGTAAGTAAATGCAGCAGTTAGGAGCTGTCTGTACTACAATCAGTGCAATGAAGCCCACTGTGTCGGGTGACTGTATGAAAAATAATTTTCACTACCTCTACCAATATCTTGTGTATGGTAAATACTTTATGCGTTGTGTTAAAACTAGTTCAACTACTGCAATACTAGCAATGCAATCCTTGCAATCTGGTAATATATAATCGTCCATTAAATACAACAATAATTATATTGTATAACTTTCGACGGGACTTACGTCAATATTAAACTTTTGTTATGTGTTACATGTATTTTGAAATAAAATAAGGGCTTTTTGTGAGTCCAATGAACTCATTAGGAATTGGAGCAAACAAAAGTAATTATGAAGGATAAGATGGCAACCGTTTGAGCGTTAATTGAAGGGTCTTCTTTACTATCTAACTAAAAACATCCTTCATCCCAAAAAAGATCAGATGTTTAAACTTCTTAGGCTACTGTACAGCTAATTATTTCTAAAATATCCATACTATAATACGAGTATAGCGCACAATTATTTCAAAAACCGATCCTAAGATTTCCTAAAAATTGTTAAAAATATCTTAGGTTCGCTAAAAACAATATCCATACTGGCCTCTGTTCTGAGAAAATCTTGAAAAACTGTAAATTAAATTTTTATATTTTTAACATTGATCTTATGGACTTGCCAAGGTTATGAAAAGAAACAGACGTTTTTTATTTTTATGCGCAACCGGAATGGGCAGGTTGTTTGAAGTTTCCACGGATTATAAAATAGAAACTTTATGGTTCATAAACAAACAATAATGACCCAAAAATAAACATATTTATATTATTATTTCGATGCAACTGTCGGAAAAAGTTCAAAACACATGTAGAGTTCGATCCATACCATTCCTTTTCTAATATCCGTTCCGCAATCCAATGACTAACATTTCGCAACCAATAGAGCACATAATACTCACAACTCGCAACAATGCTGGTAAACAGCTGATTTTAAATATTATTACGAGTTTGTTATTGAACTTTATTATAAATATTTTCAAAAGAGACTGTTTGCGTGTATGGAAATGTTTGTTAAGTAAATTAAGAAAGAAGGGGCAACGTCAACCGAAGAGAAATTGGCTTTAAGTGGAATTATTATTAAAATTGCAAAGATGAAAATGAAGATGATTCGTACGTAAAACAAGTAAGTTTAAGGTATATGTTTAAATAGGTTAACTAAAGATCCATATTAATAGTTCTATTTTAACATGTTTGTTTTATTTGGATGTATGACTAAAAGTGATTCAGTATAAAACTAATATCTTCACACCAATGCAAATCATACTCACCAACAAAGTACTCTATACTCTAGAGCATAAATAAACAAAACTATGAAGTTTTTTAACTTGCAAACCCTTAAATTCAGCCTTTGAAACTACATTATACGTAAACTGCATCTTAGAGTATTCAGATTCTATATTCTATTTGCAGTTTTTACCAACTATTTTGCTGTTTCTATGTTTACACTAAATATCTAAGAGACGATTTTCAGTGGAATTCATTAGTTTTGAATGAAAATAACATTTTGTTAGGCCTAGCACCAAACTGTACGACGCGTCTGTCGTTTAAGTCAATTAATTGGCAGAGGAAACCCCATATCAAATATAGGCCAATAAACTATAAAATATGATAATAACTATTGTAACATCAAGTCTTATACATTGGCTCAGCTTTAAAAATTGCAATACTGTAAATTATTGTTACAATTTTTAAAGTTGTTTATTTGTTTTGGTATTCATTTTATGTGTCAGTAGCCTTATGCGAGTTTACTTAGCCCTACAATGGTTGTCTATGACTTGAGATGACGAGGTCGTGCTAGTGAGCAAATTGAGCAATTGCCTCACTCTAGAGAAATCCTTACTCACGAGCCGTAGGCGAGTGAGGAATGGTTTCTCGAGTGAGGCGATTGCACTTTGCACTCGAGTTGCACGTTATATTTTTCCTACAGTTACCATAAAACAAATAAATTGGTAAAGAAACGTGCTTTCACGTTGCACATCTGGAGTGAGACAAAGTAGTTAGAGTGAGACAATGTTAACATTGTCTCACTGATGAGCAAATTGGCCACTTTGCTTTCTCAAATAAGTGAGAGAACATGTACATTGTTAGGTAACTGTAGGAAAAAGATGTTGTGCAAAATAGTACTGATACGTGAGCTTAGAAAACAATATTAAATATATATTTATACTACTTTTCGAAACTTTTTGATAACGGACGACGCGAACCGGGAGGAGTTTTGAGTCCGAACTGCGGTTGGTCAGTACAGAAGGAACTAACTTTTTCTCTCATCACCTCAGGTCGAGTTTTTGTCTACCACATTTACCTTCTCCAGTATCATGACGAGAAAGAGAGCCGGCCGGGTTTTCCGCTTTCCTTATCTTAAAATGTTTCAATTAGATCTGTCTCTAGGAAATTGTAAAAATATTCCTTTTATTATATATGTTAAATGTTCATCAATTGATGACATTTGGTGGGCTGTTGACGTTTTATTTGGCAACTTAAATTGTTTTCTAAAAGAGCGTGACGTGTGGTACACTTAATATTGGTACGAATTGATCTTGTATACACCATGTAGGAGGAATCTAGTTACTTTTGCGGTTATAAGATTGTTTTTTTTTTTTTTTTACTTATGCATTTAAAACTTACGTTACAGTATGGTTTACTCTTAGTATGGATGTAATTATAGGACAAAATACAATCAGAAGATATATTTGATTTAAATTCGCTTATTCCATATTGGGTCTGATGATGATTGGAGTGTCCAATCGAAATCGATCACCACTTACCATCTTTCATATGTATTTACCGTCTTGAGAGTCAATAGTATAAGTGTAAATGTATTATTACAAGTGTTATTAGACGTCTTTTTTACTTTCAGATATTTTATTTTACACAAATTTTGAAAGTAAACCATTTGGTTAATTATAGTTAACTATAGGTCAATATTAATTCTGATAAAAACTACTAGAGTATTTAAACAATATTTACTGTTAAAGTTTACTACATTAATCGTAATGACAATGGCTTTCGCTGATCTCAAAACTCCCTATTACAATCAATATTAACTATACTAACGTAAAGGTTGTCGAAAATATTACAACTACACTTACACAAGACAGTAACTAAAAACTGTTAATATACTTGTAACAAATATGTTAAGGTGATATCAAGTTTTACTTGACTTATGCTGTCGTACTTTGCAGCTAATTGAACTTAGGTACAAGCTTTATTAACTGAACTGGAACTTGAAGTTTAGTCGTAATCTTGAGTTTCTGAGGCGCAAAGGCGCTGATTATAATTTCAGGAAAATCCGTCCAATTGAAAATGAGGAAAACCTTTTAGAATAATACATATAGACATAAAACATATTTAATTCATAACTAAGTAATGATAACATTAAGACATGTTTGTTTGTAATTAACTGTTGAACTACATTGTGTAATTTGCGAGTAAATTTTATTATAGATGAATGTTAACACTGGAAGTATATTTGGAGGACATTTTAATATGTTTGCACGCTTTATTATGTGTTAAAATAGACCATTGAAATTCAGTCAGTTTATTGCAATTCCTAACACTTCAATATGATTCCTTAATTTTCCTTAAACTGCGTAATATGTTGTAGTTTAGCTCTCTTAGTATGTTATTAACTCATCCTATATTTATTTGCAATTAACTATGTTTATTACAAGGTATAAAAATTAAACTCTTAGGATTGACAAATGGAATAGCTTGCTATTTCGTAGGTACTGTAGTTTCAGAATGTTTAGTGATGATTTTACATAAGCAGTATTACAATTTTATAATTGTAAAAACTGTTGGTTACACTACAAATTACATTAATATTGTATGAATATTAAATCGTCCCAGTCACATTGTTATTAACTAGAGGTTTATCATTTCAATATAACCTGTACGATTGTTATGTTTTATTGAGTAATGTATATTAGAAAAATTGTAAAATATTGCGTAAGTTTATTTAAATGCACGATTTACAGAATCTAGAATGGTTATCGTAATTGTCTCTTTGAACAGTCTAAAAATTTACCAATGTCATTGCAAACATATACCATTAGGTCATTGTAAACATATACCTTTAAATTTACAGATTGGTAACCTCTTAAGTATGTATCTAAATTTGAGTCAAAATGTTTTATTTTCAGATTGGTACGATAGAAGCAGAATCTGACCTATTAAATACTCTACAGAAAGAAAGAACGAATCATGCCATGAGAATAATTACTTCCATAAACAATAGGTAAGTCTTCAAAGTAAGTCCATTTTTATAACATTTTTTATCTAAACATTTTTTGTGAATTTCCCATATTGGGAATAGCTATTGCCGTATCACTCATGGTAAAACCTGGACCCGGGTCCGATTTACTTTTTCGTTTTAAATATACTTTTTATGTCCTTTAGCACGATAACTTGAGAAATAAAATCCGATTTTGATGAAATTTTGTAAAAACGTGTAAACATACATTTATTTGAACGAGTTTGCAAACCAGCATGATCGGACTATGGGAACGGTGGGTTTTATGGGGTTAAAATTGGTTTTCCCCATTTTCGACCCTAAAAGCATAACATTTTGCAATTTATTTCCAAAAGCTAAAAAAAATAATAATTTAACATATTGAAGCGTTGTATTGCGCCTTATAGTTACGGAGAAAATTACAAACAATTTTAAATTTTAAGCTCCCATGTTATTCTTATGCAAAAAACTGTTTTAGTTTGCTAGTTTATTGGCATATGTTGTTCAAGTTTGTTAAAAGCATCTATTTCATACTAAACAATTATCATAAAAAAACGTTTACCCTCCCTGTTGCAGCAAACCTAAGTACTTGTTAAACTGCTATTTAAATGACTTAGGAAATAAATGTGATATTTTTAAGGATATATTATAGTCTAAATCCAATCAGGCAAATGAAAATTCGCTTTGTCTGCAGGTTTGCTTTGGCGGGGGTATTAATTTACTACCAGCTTATAGTTTTCTGTTCTGGTAATTATATTTAGAGTAGTTACAAAACAAAATACATTTCACTTTAATCTGAAGCTTTAATTATGACGTTTTTCTCGTTTAATGTCTATGGATAGTCCTATAAACTTAAGTAGACAAGACATTTTACATCACAGGTCTGACTCATCATTGTGGTAAAAAAAAACTATGGATTTTAGGTCAGTTCTGTCACTGACCATAGCAGAACATTACAGCTTTAACTTGCCCATATATACGAGTGTACAGTACATTGATATTGGCCTGGTATTTGTTAAAGTCATACTGCACCATAGTACGGTATCATGTTGTGCTTTATGTTTTTCGAATGTAAATTGTTTGATACAAGATTGATCATAAACCCTCAAAACAGATACGGTTATGGCTTGAGAAAAGACAAAATAGAGGCTATCCATTAAAAGGACGCATCAGAGCTGTATTGACATAATGTGAACGTATGTTAGTATATCACACTACTCTAGAGGTGGATTGTCAATGAACTATTGTAATGATCTTGGTTTGTTACTTCCACGTAATAAAGGATAAAACCTTTTGTTTAGTACTAATATTATAAATATCATAAATAATATGAATAACTGTAGGTGATTATATTGCCTTTAACTATATTATGTCATCATATCTGTACACAAAGAGGTAATTTTTGATATACAATAAGTAATCCAAAGTTTAGTAGTTTTAATAGGCACAGTATTTTTAAGAAATTTAAGTAATTTTTAAATAATGTAAAAAATATATATTTATGAAGCCAAAATAAAAGGCATTGCTTATAAATCGTTCATCATAAGGGCCTATGATTAAAGTAATATTTACTTGTTACAGCCGAAGTTATTTATTTTTTTATATTGTGAACCATACATGAATTATTTGGAAACCATAAATCAAATAAACAGTAGAATAAAATTCACCTAAGTAAAACTTTTAAGTGAATTGAAGATTTTCATCACTGTTTACAAGAGTTTGTACTTGGACCTGTTGCGTCATTTGCTTGTCTGTTCCTTTGAAAGAATAACACATTTGAGTATACTGTATTAACATAAATCAATCACTTTGTACCAATACAGTATTGACTGTGGTTTGGCGCTCAGAATTAAGCCACCTTAAGTAACGGATTATTAGATGGTAAACTCATTGACGTAGTAAGCTCAAGTTCAAAACTCTACTTAATTCCTCGATTTGAAACACAATGCACATAAATACTTACCAACTACTGTTAAGTAATAGTGGAAAATGCATTTTAAATCTTTTGCGCGTTGAAAACCATACAATGAATTTAATTTTGTAATAAAAGTGCCGTTGTTAAAGATCAGTAACAACGTATTGACAATGCCAAAATAACACATAAACATGCTTTTAGGACAATGGACAAAACTGTTGACAATCCACTCAAAGAGTTTGAAGCCGTTTTCCTTTTACTGTACTTCACTAGATGTTAGCAGCATTATGCTATTTTCTTATGATTCAGTTGAATTGGAATTATTAGCTGTATGGCTTTGGCCATGCAGTGTTGTTTCGTTAAAATGTTTAAGTTTTTAGTTTTAGTGTTTTGATGACTTTCCGACTACCTCCTAGGAGTGACAACCTCACTTTTAGGGCTGGAAAATGACACTTTATAGTATCTTTTTGAAGTTATTGGCTGTTTCAAATTGCACTCTGTAGATTCCTTAAGCAGTTATTATGGATTACTTGAGATAAACTAATAGAGGTTTAATTTACCTGGTTAATGTCAAAACGATCCTTGGTAGTTTATAATGACTACATCTGTTTTCTGGTGTCAAAAATTAAGCTCATCTTCAGGTTTGAAAGACTTGCGAATAATAAAGTTTAACAAGAGGAAAGATAAAACGAAAAAAAGCCAATTATCACACAAGAGCAGAACATTTGATAAACCGGTGGACTAGACGCTGATTGGTTGACAAGGCGCCAGTGGACGTGACTGTAATTTTAAAAATAACTTCAAAATAAAAGTAAAACTCCAGTTATCTTCAACGAGAAAACTTTTAGTAAATCAGAAGTCACTGTTCTACATTTAAGTCTTGGAAACTTTTACATTGTAACGAGGTCTCTATAGACGTTATTATCAATAACTCTATTCAAACATTTTCAAAACTGGACATCCAATCCCATAAAACTGTAACTTAATACTATTTAACAATATGTTTATAAATATATTTACGGTTGTATACAAATGTTTTCAGCTATTTCATTATTCATGGCAGTTTTGAAAGAGTTTGACTTTTTTCGATTAAAGATTTTATCCCCTCTTGTACTTCCAGTAAAAAATGATAACAAATTAAACTCATAGGGTACATAGAAAGCTACTCATACAAGTAATGCAATCCACATTATTACTATGAATTATCTTCTCCTGTTTATATTTATGGATACAAATTATAAGGGTGATTCTTTTCTAATAGTCATATTTTGCAGCTAAATCGTTAATCCTTATTGAAACATATTAAACTTGTGTATGATTTTTCAAAGCCAACTTTTGTCAACTGACAGTAAAAGAAGGATAACTAGATTCCCTCTGGTATTTTAATTGAAAAGGGTTTTTCTGAATAATGTTAAGTATTTTTAATACTTTCATACGGTCAAAATTTATTTGCCAATCGAACTCTAGCTTTCAACATATTACTAAAAGTATTTTCACAATTACCGTTACGATTAACAGTATTCAAGATTCAAGATTCAAAGAGTCTTTATTCACACAGTACAAATTTTCGTACATGAATAGTGTCTATTGTTACTTACTACCTAAATTAGCAATAAGAAACATTTAAACAAAATACTATAGGCTACATTATTTTAAATTTAAATTACTATAATCTTCTACTTTGTAAGGTGCAAAGTCAAGTAAGAATACCTTCAAAATATAACAGTAGGTAACTGTTATATTTTGTTGCAACTTTTATAGAGTTTCTATAGCTATCAATAGTAGTTATATACTTGATAGTTAAATACTTGATAAATGTATTACTTTTAAATATTAAATGTGTAGATTGTTTATATTCCTAAAATATTATAAAATAAACGTTATTGCCTGTCCTCCAAGTACAAATCAACTATTAGCTGACATACCAACATTGTATATAGTATATTATGTTATGCATACTTATTTACCGTCATACAATTTATAAATTTTACAAAGTAAACACATACAACTAAATTATTGTAAAACACATTTTTATGGTTGACTTGACACCATCAATGTATCAAATATAAATTACAAAAACCGCCAAATAGTAGTTCATTACTCACTAAGACCAAAAATGACTTTTTCTGACACAAGCTTAGATTTGAAACTTTAGCGAAAATCTAAGAAAACATTTATGAGAAAAACTAACAAATTTAATTTTGTTTATGTTAACCCTTGATTGAATGATGGAGATTGGACTGACACGAACCACCGTAAAAACCTCTGTTCTCCATGGATTTTTTTTTTACTCTATTTCAAGGTAATAGGTTGTTAGAGTATCAGGTTACTCCATAAACCATTGGAATGCGTGGAATACAGAATAGTAGCCTATACCTATTATCAAAATAACAAATCTGTTGAGGCTAAAATATGTTTCTCCTATTGAATAATCGCAAGATAAGAATAAAGTTGTACGTCTTTAAGTTTTCTCTTACACCACAAACTATTGGTCGGAACTTTGTTAAAGCGAAATAGAAGCTCATGTCAGAAACACACTGACAACTTCAAAACTCTTTTACTGACCTTTTATTTGTCAAACGATCAATAGGTTGGTTCCTATTTTTGTCCAAGTACCTTAAAACAGAACCAATGTAAATCTGAATACATGTCACGTAAGCTCTTGTTCTTTTCCTTTCAACTAAAGAATGTAGTATATATATTACAGCCCAGTTTCTGCTCAATGATATAACAATTAGCATTTGATGGGTTAAAACTATACCTATAATCAAGCCTAACTAATATCCCTAGCTAATCTTAAGCTAATCCCGGATAAAATCTAAAATTAACTTATTCTATTCTTGTTTTAGTTTTATAATTAATTAATTCAACGCCTATCCTTCACCTTCCCTTGCATTAATATACAAACTCTTGTATTTCGTACAAATCTAGCCTAGTTTTTATTGGATAAAAGGTGGAGTTACAATTTTATATTTGAATTAAAATCAAGCTTTTAGCCGTAAAACACAAACCAATCAAACTGAAATTTCTGGCATTTCATCTGTGTAACGCGTTCTTGTTCACTATATACTCGTACTATGTTGCTAAAATA